GACGCTATGCACGCCATCGGTCCTGGTCTCATTCCTTGCTGTGACCCAAAATCCTGCTTTGGCGTAGAGCGAGGTGAGGGGGTTGGCGGGAGGGAGCACTGTGTGGTCGGGGGCCCCCGCCGCTTACCACACACTCAGACTAATTACGGGCTGGGCATCGTCCTAGGTGCTTAAGAAACATTAACTCATTTCATCCTCAGGCAGACCTAGCAGAAAAAAATACTGTTATTTTGCAAACAGTGAAGGAGACTGAGGCGGGAGAGGTTAAGGAACTTGCCGGGGCCGCAGTCAGAGGGCTAATGAAAGGCCGAGCTGGGACTTGACCCCACAGAGTCTGACGCCACAGACTGCCCCTCAGAGGTTAAGATCACAGGCTCCATGTAGTGATTAGGCCATCCTGTTCACCGGGAGCCCAAGGGACAAAGGAGGCTGCCAACGAACAGAAGGACAAGGGACCGTAGTTTGCTTTGGCTTCCAGGAGAGTCCCACGTTCGCAGACACTTCCTGCTCTTGCATAGCTGGGATCACCCCGTGGGGAGGCCGGAAGGCTGCTCGATGACCCCAGGTCAGCTCGCGATTCCTGGTACCTCTTGCCTGCAAGTAGGCAAGAGCGGAGGGCCGGTCGGATGTTATACCTGTCGTAGGTACACTGGAGGTGGGGGGTTAGGGCGGTGGGGTGCTATAAAGCATGACCTTATCCGTTCCCTGACCCCAACATGTATCAGTAGAATAACCACCTCTGCCAGACACAACCCCGTGAGTCGGGGTGAACCGGCAGCAGAGGAAACGCAGGTGTAAATACGTGTGAATTAAATTATTCCCATCTCTGAGTGCATTCTTCTACTCTCCTGTACCCCACCCCCACCCCCCGCCCCAGGATTTCCAAAGTCTCACATTGGTGCGTGATCTTAACAGTGCCGTGCACTTCCTTCTTACTTCTTCAGAGGCAAAGACTAAGCCTTACTCATCTTTGTCTTCTCGTCAGTCGACACTGTTTGCTGAATGAATAAACAATACCCCTCAGAGCAAATGACCTTTAGCTTATCCTGGAAACCACCTCGAACTGTGCGTTGACTATAAATTTGGATTTTAAGGGAAACACAGACGTGTTTCTAAGGAAACGTTTTTGCTGTTTTGTTAAAGACCGATTTGGTGAGCTAATCGTTTTTAACAATTACGCCTGGATTGTAAAGAATGCGTTATCTGCACCGTACTCTCTAGACATTTGGCATTTACCGGGCACATGTGGTCCTGTGATGTCTGCTTTCCCTTTCTGTTCTCTCTTTCTTAAGGAAAAAAGCAACTGCTGTTAAACTCAGCCGCCACAGTACGTCTGACCGTTTCATCCGACATTCTTCCCACCGTTCATTTCTTTCTAACACCTTCGACTTTCGATCCTGAAGCACAAGGGCCGTACTTTCATTAGGTCTAATTTACTGTGAAGCTCGGTGTTCCTTGTGAATCAACCATAATAGTCAGCGAATAATCACAGGCTTCAGCCAGTCTGAGTCTTAGTTCAGCTGAGTAACTAGGAAAACCATCTAATAACAAGAAGGTAAAAATATTGCCCCAGCACTAGGCTAAGCCACCGTATCATGACCAACGCCCAGGTATACAGCGGGGCTGGCCGCAGCGTGGGAGCCAGGGCAAGGGCGCCACCTGGATGAACCTGGCCTTCCTCTGAAAGGGAAGCAGGGGGGGCATGGGCCTCATGGGAGTCAACAGTCCAGGCTGGAGAGTGGACCCCCCCCACACACACACACACACTTCCTGCAGCTCCTTCAGCTCTGCCATTTGTGCTTCTGGCCAGATCATTTTCAATAGTGTTTCACACACTTACCACTGAGAGGGGAGGGATGACTGTTTTTTCATGTATGCGTTTTTTTCAAAGGAGCTTTCATAAGCTGCTCCCAGAGGGGAGGCTGGAAAAAGAAACTTAACAGCTGTATCATTTTGAGCCTCTACCATGCGCTTCATACTGATAAATTCTTGATTTTTGGTTCGATCTATGTTGGATGCTCATCACGGCCTGACGACTTAGGTTCCATGATCACCTTTTCTTCTCTAGAGGAGAGAATGGGCCCAACGTTTAATGGGGGAGAGCAGAAGAAAAATTTGTTGTCAGGATCGGATTGTCTGCAAACCGCCGTGCTCCTTCGGCCATCTTTCTGCTCAGATATGCTGGGAACGGCCTGGCGCCAGCACGGTGTCCCTCCCAGCCCTCAGCCTGCACCAGACCCTCAGGGAGGTAGGTGTCTTCCAAAACATCCGCAGGACCTCAGTGACCCAGCCCCTGAGCGTTCCACACTGAACACCCCTGGGCTGTGGACTAGGCAGTGCCACTTTGGGCAACTGAACTTGACCCAGTGGCTGCGGGTCCCAAGCTTCTCAGGTACTATCGAGAGCTATGTGAGCAGCCTGGGGAGGAGAACCCCTGTATTAGCTAAAACTACAGCCCAGATGAGTCAGTATTTTCTGCTACGGTTAAAATTAAAAGTAGGATACTCTTCATGTCTCCATGGTAACTTACTATGGATCTGTATTCCATCTACGAAACTCTTTCTTGACCTATCTATGATTTCTGATCCGGGCCTGAATATATACTGAGAAGCCATCAGAATGAATTCAGGCTCCTAGAAATATCGATGTCCCCAGCACCTGGTTGTTCCGGCGGTAGACCCTGCCTCTGCCCCATGCCATGGTGATACTGGAGCCCCTCGGGTACCTGGAAACATTAAAATACCGTAGTATCTCAATTAGCCGGATAACTCCGGATTTAGGGTTGTCATGGAAACCGGAACCTTGGTAACAGAGAAGTGAGGCGGTTCCTCTCCCTTCCAAGCACGCAGCACCGCTGTCCCTGTCACCAATTTTCAGTGCCATGGCCTTGCCTAAGCTGGGCTGTTTTATTTTATATCCACCTTCAGGAACCTAAATTTTCTTCTAAAATACTGAGAATCTGACCTGAATCTGAATAGGAGATGCACACACGTTTCTAGCCATGGACTCAAGTATTAAAATTGAAAACTGGCAGTACGGGTGATGGTTTTGACCATGGCTGAGAGTCAGATTAACTCGAATTTCAACCTTGAATTTCCCACTTATACGTTTTTTGACCTGGTGACTTATTTGCCCTAAGGTTCAAACGCCTTCTTTTTAAGGTGGGCTCAAGGATGCCTCGGAGAGTCATGAAGATTGGCCCAGAGGGCAGCTCAGGCGCGGTCGGTGACACTAAGGCGCCGCTCAACTCCAGGGGGCGGCCCTCTCACGGACGCTGTAGGGGTGGGGCTCCTGAACCGGGGCGGACCCAGTGACCCAGCAAAGGCCCAGTTCGTACATTTATCACTCATTCAGTCTTCTCGTGATAGAACGATCGTAAATCAAGTCCACGAAGAGGTCCAAGAATGGGGCCCCTCATTACCCGAGCCCTGCGGCCTCGGTGCCACCAGCACCACCGCTGGGGTCCTGCCGAATCCCAGAGGCCTGTTTGGTGTGAAAGCCTCGGGACAGGGAGGAAGCCGAGCAGAGACACGCGCCCCCACATTCCCCGAGCTCCCGGGGCGCGCACTCGCCCGGAGCGCCGGGCCTCGGAGTCCTGGGCCACCGCGGTCCTGGAAGGGCGGGCGAGCGGCAGCCGTGCGACAGCG